AGTATCCATGTGATTCTCCATGTTTCTCACCCCTTCATGGTCAGGTGAAGCCATCTGCCTAGTTCTGCTCAGTGGGCAATGAATGGAAGCATTTAACTGCTGTGTTGACACCTTCTGGGTGAGGCCTTTGGCAGTGGGCGGCCACAGCCTGGGTTCCTGAGTGAACATGTGGGGCACAGATGTGTGCCTGTCCCCAAAACTGTACTGGACGTATGGTGCAAGCAAGAAATAGTGTGCCGTGCCACGGATTTGGGAAGTCAACCTATTACTGCAGAACACCCTAGTCTTGTCCTGACTAACATGCCAGCCATACGAAAGAAGAGCCACCGGAGACCCCCATACTGAGTCTGGAAGGAGAGCCCTGGAGCCGGACCCCACTCCCCTCAGCTCCCTCCCATGTGGCTAGATGAGGGCTGGGAGCACAACAGCGCTGAGACAGGGCTTGTTTTTACAAATCATGAATTTGAACTTAGCTAATATTGGCATCCTCTTCCTCATCCAATAAAGAAATTCCTAAGAAGAAATGGAATAAGATATGAGCAAAGTTCCATAAAGGACAAAAGAGAAGACTACACTTACATATGCATATCAAACCATTAAAACTGTGAGATACAGATTATTCTCCATAATCTGTTCTTTATTTTTTTTGCTTAATTTGAAAATTAAAGAAGAGAAAAAGTAATCACACACTTTTACTGCCTAGATTTAGCCTCCATTAATATTTTGGCATATTAATATCCTATTTCTATGTATAAACTTCTGCATATTAAAAATACTACATGAATATTCATTTAAAAAATAATTTAGAACATTACAGCAAAGTTCAAGTACGCTTTGACCTACATGCCTAGCTACTGTGTCCCCACAGCCATAACTATTATTATATTGATTCATATTTTGGTCTATTTTAAGTATTTTTAAATACACACATATGAACATATATTAAATATAAATTTATACATATATAAATTCATAGTAAACAAAGTACTGTTCTGCAGTTCTGCATTTTCTATGTATAGATTTATGGTCAAGAAAAGCATCCTGGAAGTAGCGGGGAGCTCAGATGGGGCCAGCGGCCACATGAGGCTGAAAGAAATCTGAAGGGAAAACAGATGAATATTTAACCTGTGTAAGGTCACAACAGTTTCACTTCTATAAATATCTCCAATGTGACTGATTTGTAGTTAAAAATATCACAGAGATACTGACTTAGCATGCAGCGGAAGACAATTCGGACAAAGTGAATGGCTGCTTTAGAGACAGACAATGGTCTGGACACAACAGCATGACATTTACAACACGTCATTCATAATTCACTTATAACCTGCACAGCTCACGTTATTATGTGCAAGAAGCACATAATAAAGTCCATAGTCTACCTTTTAGGCAATTACTCTAAACAGGCGCTATGGTTTCATTTGGATTCCTTTTTTCAACTTCTTTAAGCATGACCACTAGTCAACAAGTGCCTTTAGAGAGAAGGTGGGTAAATATTGCAGGTGGATTAGATCTGGTGTTTAGATCCAGTGCAGTATTTAGAAAGTGGCTCTGGGGAAGCGGCCTGGAGTCACGTAAGAGGATGCTCTGTCAACAGCCTTAGCTGTTGAGTTCATGGGACAAGTGCCTGACGTGTGGGCTGCACACCTGGCCGAGAGGAACAGCACTGGACCCCAGCCCACCCCGGTGTCTGCTGCCCAGGAATGACTGGGTGGCCGTAGGGCAGCTCCATCTCCCCGGTCACAATCACAAACTTATTTTTTTCCTTCTATACATGGGCTTATTCTCTGGCAGAATCACAAACTTAAAAGTGGCCCAACAGAGGATAGGACAGGAGTTACTCTGAAAAGGTCATGGAGCAAATGGGTCCTCAGAGAGTGGCAATACGCAAAGGAAAGTTCTCCCTTCCTACCTGCATCCTTCCTTTCAAGCCTCCTTCCCCAGCTACGGAAAGAGGCTACGTTGCAAAAGATTTGGTGCCACTTTCTGGTAAGGAGGATGAGGCGAGAGGGAAGGAAAAGGGCCCTGAAGCACTGTGGAATTTTGCTCGTCCTTTCCCTGGCCGTGGAGCCAAATGGCAGCCATTTAAAAATGTGGAGGGTAGAGTCCTTATTTACACTTTAGAAGACTTTAGCCCAACCGGGTGATCCCATTTTATTACACGGGTCCTATGAACACAGAACAATGAAATCTTTCATAGATGTAACACTGTATCTCAGTATCAAGAGTAATTGGTCTGGAAAAGTCAGACACATGCATCTTCTTATCACTGGTGGAAATACTGGCCTCCCCGCTTCCAACCTAAATCTTCAGAGACTAAGTTAGTGTAAACCCTAAGAGAAGGGTTTTTAAGAGTCTTTGGGGGAAGCGGGGAAGGTAAAGGGGAGGAAACTTCAAATTAGGGTCACGTTTATTTGGTTTAAAACAGTGTGTCTACTAGTCTCTCGGATTTACTGCAGTGATGGCCAAAGTCAGCCCAGAAGCCAGACCCCAGGGATGACAGGAACCCAGGGTCATTCGCAGATATGCTGAAAATACCCGGGTAGGGTGCAAGGTACAAGGACGAAACTGTTACCACCACCTGTGCCATGAACGTGCAGAACTTTCTGAAGAATTTCTTCAAAATCTCAGAGGGAACTTGAGGGGTCAATTTATGTTCAAGTCTGTGATTCAATGGGACACAGATTCACGTGCCTGTGGTCATATCAGGTTTGTTTTGCCAAACAAATTGGGGAAAATGTTAACACTTTTGTTACATGGTGCTTAACCTAAGCGATTTAGGTAAAAAAATGCAGACAACGTGGAGAAGGTGGTCCCTGCCATCCCGCGACTGTCCGGTGAGCTCCTAGGCACTGTCTGTGCTCACCAGTCACCACCACCTGTCACACGCCTGTGCAATGAGCTGCCTACTTGGTTGTCTCCCCAGCATCCCTGCAGGCAGGGACTGTCCTGTTCATCGCTGTGACCCCTCTGCCTGGCACAGGGTGACCAATCATGTTTATGAAGTGAATCAATGAATGAAGAACAAAGTGCTTCCTTTCTAGAGTAATTGATTCTACCTCGCCTAAATTAAGCCTGCCTCTTTAAGTGTGCGGAAATAAGTGGTTATGTCACAGAACATATAGAAATAAATGATTACCTCATTGAATAATGAACTGGGACCAGCAATAAAATTTGTCTGCCTGTTGTTCCTTAGTTACTGCTCCACCAAGTCGCCCAATTTGTTAACCGACTACATTAAAGATCTAATTAAATTAAATCTTGAATAAGGCTCAAAAGACCTATGGAGAGCACTTTGTTTAATTACAGGCAGGGAGCAAGCACCAATCTTATTGATCTGGTCAGTTAAAATTCCATACAACGAATGTGGGCAAAGAAAAAAAAAATGTGGCCACAACTGCTTTTTAGTCAACTTTGATGAACTGTGAATACAGAGCTGCTCCAAAGACAGCAATGGCAAACCAGCTATGTGTCCTGTAGCACCACAGGGATGAAAATGAAACTGTACCTCGGTTGCTCTGCAGAACTACACTTTGTGAAGAACAAAAGACAATGCCAATCGCAAAAGATAGATCCCTCTGTAGGGAACTGAAGTGCATTGGGTGGGTGGGTGGGTGGGTGGTGGCTGGAAGAAGCCTTCCAGCATTCAAAGTCTAGTGAACTGGCATTCAAAGGCATATAGCAAATTCTTTGAGATCTACAATTGTCTTAAAATAAAAAGAAATCAATCCAAGTTGTGGGTATGTATGCAAATTCCTGAGGACATTTCTGGTTGAGGAAGAGATACAAGGTCCATAACATTTTATTATTTGGAGGTAACTGAAATGTAAATTATGTAAATTTATATAAAACAATATTAACTGCATAAACTTAAAAAGTAGTAAATGTGACAAAACAGGTTTTGACTACAATGTGCATGTGTACATGTGTATGCATGTATGTGTGTATATATATCATTATTCAATGTCCAGGTGAGAGTGCTTCAAACAGCTAAGGATTCTTATGAAAAAAAGATGGTATAGTGCTCAACCTTCCACACCACTCAGCAGGGAACTCTGGATTTTACCCAAACAACTGCTACTAATTTTTTGAACATTTACTGTTTGCCAGGCATTGTCTACCTACTTTATGAGTATTATCTAATTTTCCTGCATTGGGTACTACTATTGTTCCCAATTCATAGCAGAGTAAACTGAGGCACAGAGAGGTCAGGTAATTTGCCAAACACTCATGGTGACTTGGCAGGTCAAGCTATGACCCCAGGTGGTCTGGCTCTGGAGCCCCGGTACAGAGTGTAGTACCTCTACATCATGCTATTCTTAATACAGATTTCCAGAGTTGGAGAAAACACTGGAAGAAGGGAGGGTGGAGGGCTTTTTATTTTTTGCTAGTCACAATCAAGGGCTGTCTTGTGCTTTAGTAACTCAAATTAGAGGAGAAAATTTATTCTAAACCATAATATGTAATTAAAGTTAAGACCAACAATTTCCCTTACAAAACATGCACCATCAGAACCCACACACTAAGAGCAAGCACATACCTAATTAGGGCATTAGTCATAACAATCAGGGTGTGTAACCAGGAAATTACAGGTGGTGTGGGCCTTAGTGCTAAGTGAATTTCATCAGGTTGCCCAGATAAAGCCTTTCCTGACTGGGGTGATTTACACTTGCTGATGCAAGGCTGGAGCGTGGCATCCAATATAGCTGGCTACTGAAAATACGCTTCTGCATGTTGAGTTAAAACAAAATGATGCTTAGATATGAGAGGTAGTAGTTCTGGCCTTTTAAGTATGACAGTAGCTGTAAGTGAGGAAGAGAGTTGACAACATTCAAAATAATAATTTCTTCCACATTTATACATAATGGCAATTAAGAATACTTGCATGCGGATTGAAAACTCAATGATTTACACATGCTGACCTTATTGAAGAACAAGTTATTTCCAAGGTGTTCTTTAAGGGTAGAGGGGCAAGAGCAATGGTGAAAGATGATGGTACCTACCAGATGTATTTTTTCCTCTTCTACTTCAATTTTATCTGTGTGCAAAATTACCAGTCAGAGCACAACTAGAAAGCAAGCTTCTAACATTGCCAAGACTGAGAAAGAGAGTAAAGTAGGTCTAGCAATTCAAAGTGAAGTTCAGAGGGAACTGTTTCTGATTGAAGAACTCACTGCTGCACTCCCAGCCCAATCACAGACAAAACTCATGGCCAAACAAAGAAGTCCTTGTGGGTTCCTGGGAAAAAACTCCATCTTTGGAAAACTGAGTGCTTTAACAATTCTGCCAAACATTTCTATCCTGAAACCTTAGCTCCTTTGGTAATGGATATATGTCTTAATAAAAATAGTTTTTAAACTAGTTCAGGCCCTGGGGTGAATAGCAGGGATCACACACACACAGACATGTACACATGTGTACATAGAGCAACACACACGCACAGTTACATCCACACATACATACATACACATATGCAGATATGATTATTTTCACTTCTAGTCTACACTAGAAGAGGTGACATTTCACATTAGATTCAGTATAGATAAATGAGAGCAGGTACTCTAAAGGTAAAAAAAATTTTATAGAAAAAATTGAAAGGGCAAAATTCTCCACGTATTTTTTCAAATTATAAAAATATTATTAGCTTATCTTAAAGAAGAACATTTTAATTAGGCTTGGGGAAGACATGCATACACTGGAGAGCGGTTTTGAATTACTGCCCTGATGTAATTTTACCATCTACTCAGATTTAAGATTCCAGAGAAAAGTGTCTTTTTTTTTTTTTTTTAAATCTTACCTCTATACCTTAGCACTTTCAAACTATATTCTTTTTCTTTTCTTTTTTCTTTCTTTTTTTTTGAGACACAGTCTCGCTCTGTTGCCCTGGCTAGAGTGCAGTGGCCTCACCATAGCCCACTGCAACCTCAAGGTCCTGGGTTCAGGTGATTCTCTTGCCTCAGCCTCCCAAGTAGCTGGGGGACTACAGGTGTGTGCCACCACACCTGGCTAATTTCTCTATTTTTTGCAGAGACAGGGTCTCGCTCTTACTCAGGCTAGTCTTGAACTCCTACCTCAAGCGATCCTCCGCCTCTGCCTCCCAAAGTGCTAGGATTACAAGCATGAGCCACTGCATCTGGCCTTCAAACTACCTTCAAGAATGACTTCTTAACAACAAAAGAATGGCAATTCCCAAGACTACGAGTGCCACAAAATTCGCGGGCTGGCCTTGGCTCCACACACTCAGGAAAGGCCTGGCCACGTTGCACGCAGTGCGCTTACCCTCCTCCGCAGCCGGTCCCGCTCCTCCCGGATGGCGTTCATGGTGGCCTTGGTACGGTTCAGCTCCTCCTCTTTGCTGCACAGCATGGCAGTCAGGCTCTCATTCTCTTCCCTCAGCCCGGCCAGCTCCTTCTCCCACCGAGACCGCTCTTCAGCCAGGTTGGGATACAGGTCTCGGCCAAGCACCCCCTCAATCTCCTCGACCGTCTGCAAGACACAGCCACAAAGGAAAGCCAAGTAAGTTAACTTGGAGAAGGGGGTGGGGAGAAAACAGACTGGACAGGAACAGGCAGCCGCAGAAGAGTGGGTTCTAGAGCCACTTCATAGTGACTGTGACTAAGAACACCCCAAAATTATCCTCTCCCCAATTTCACGTGCTCTTGTCACTTGCCTGGGTTATAGTCTGATGAAATCCTCAGAGCTAAAACACAGTTAGTCCCCTCCTGGTGTCTGAGTCTATCTATGGTGCTAACTGCCATGGGCACACAAATGTTTATTTCCCTCACTTGAGTTCCAGAGACGGTGAAGGCACATAATCAGGCAGCAGGCCAATTAGGGATCCTGATAATGCAACGACAAACATGAGTTTGCAAACTGCATACGAAATCGAACTTGAAGTTTCCTAAATTACAGGCGTCCCATGTGCCAGCTCAGCAATAAGTCAGGTCACATCGCCACTTGCAGCTTTCGGTGCCCCATCAGAATTCAAATGGTGTCAGTGAGGTTCACTCCCAAGATGTGAAAGACAAAAATAAACCTCAGTGACACAGAAAAGGGGAAGCTCATTGTGGAGGTTTCTGAGACGGCAGGGATTTAATTAATTAATAATACAGCTACAAACGGAAGAGAATTTTAATAGTACTTAGAGGGTTTTAAAGAATTCATTTAAAACAGTATTAATGGAGACGAAACACGCATAAAATTAGGGGAAAAAAGGAATAACTCATTCTGCTTGCTCTCAAACTATTCATTCTCATTTACTGTGCTTTGGGAAAGGAAGCACATGCCAACTGTTAATGAAACAGGAGGGAGAATTACTATGTAGCGGTAGAAGGCAGGGAAGGGATATGATAAGAAACAGGTCTCAAATAATAACAATATAGGGGTATGTCACTCTCAGATGCTTACACTAGTTCTAAAATCTTGTTGCCACTTTCCCATGTTGTGCCTTTGTCCCTCCTTTCAAATCTGAGACTCTTACCCTGCCTGGCTCTGCTCCACACCCTGCTCTGTCCCTGCTGGCGGGCGGAAGCCCTTGGCCTCTTCCTTTCCTCTACACGCTGAGGCCAGGGCTAGACCCGAGTTGACATTACAATCAAATATTGGGCCTGGAAGATCACAGAGAAAGAAACACCAGCGACTGCTTCTCCCTACCCCAAACCACATCAACTATATATTTGCAACTGAGACGAATAAAGATGGAAAACCAGCAGTGTTATAAACATGAATCATGGTTTACTTTGAGACACCGCAGCTCTTTTGTAAAATCCAGGATTCCCACTGATAGAAACGAGCCTAGATTTTCTCTTTGCCCAGGCTCCTCCAAGAATTTTCAGTCTGAATTGCTATGCCTAGCTCACTAAGCTCTGCTGAAGTAATATAAAGATACCATAGCAACAGGACTTGACTTTCCCATTGGTCATGACGAGTTTGTGCAGATGTGGCGAATTCCTCTCGCCTGGTCCTCCTTTAGCAGTGAAGCACGCCAAAGGTGTAGCTGAGACCCAGCTCCAGTGTGCTGGGGACAGATGGCTCAATCAGGCCTTGAACCTTCCACCTTGTTAGCATCATGAATTGATGACTCCTGAAATAGCATTCCAGAGGCCTTATAGCTTTAATAGAACTTCCAAGATAAACTTACAACTTCAGAGTGCTACATAATGAACCACACTAAAATGATGTGGTTCGACACTAGTAGTTTAACGGTTTCCAAGTAAATTGTCCTTTTTGCTACAAAGCCAGTGAACTTGACTGCTGATAGAATGACTTTTTCTAAAGTAATTCAGCTCAACAAAAATTTATGGGGCCCCTGCTTCTACCTTGTGGCCCAATCTACAGTACGGCTTTCATAGAAACATTCATCCCTAATGTGTATTTGAGAAAACCACACTGCAGGAGGATTTGACCATTTCCCTCGTATAATCTCAAAGAGCCACGCAGAGGTGAGGAGTCTACCTTAATGGCCAAGTCGCAGTGCTCGCTGGCCGTGGTGAGCTGCTCGATGTGCCGGTCCACCTCGGCCACGGAGAGGCTGCAGCTGCTCTTCTTCCTGTCACAGAGGACGTTCTCCAGCCCCGTCAGCACCCTCTGCAGCTCTGAGTCCAGGTCACTGCAGTTGTCTGGGGGTGAATGAAGACCAAATGCATTAGGCAGGACAATGAATGCTCTCTGCTTCACTCACCTTGAGGGACCGACTCGGGTGAAACGCAGCCTGACATTTCAAAGTTCAACACCACCCCGCCTAATCTCGCAGCACTGCCTCTCAGGCTCGGGGCCACTGTAAAGCTCTTCATTAAGGGGTTTCAGACCATGGTCATTTTCCAGATAGCCGAGCTGCCCTGAATTCTCCTGTCTTTCACTCAGAGGCAGCCACATCTTAAGTTTCCTTAGTAACAACAACAAAGTGCCCCAGAAGGGGCCATTGGCACCTCCAAAATCTTCTGATCGACCTTTCTGCTCGGCCATTCAAACAGCAATAACTACAGAAAGACTTTCTGCTAAGAAGATCCCATCACTTTACTAAACAAACAACAAAAAGCCTCAGAATGAGCAGAGATGCTAGGCATTTTGAAAAATAGAAACTGTGTAAGAGAGTCTTTGCCCACAACGAGCTTGAAATCAGGACTTTTTTCTCCAATATAACCAATCAATCAATACGCTCCACCTGTGCAATTTAACCCATATTCTTCCATCAGTGGAAAAAATAACAAATTTTTCTAACAAATTTCATATTGTTCTTCATGCACATGTTTTGTAACCAATCCTAATAATTTGATTTTGACTTAAAAATCTGTGTTACTTTTTTTTTTTTTCTTGTTTCCCAGGCTGAAGTGCAGTGGCATCATCATAGCTCACAGTAACCTCAAACTCCTGGACTCAAGTGATCCTGCTGCCTCAGCCTCCCGAGTAGCTGGGATTACAGGTATGTGCCACCACACCTGGGTAATTTTTAATTGTTTTTATAGAGACAGGGTCTCTCTATGTTGCCCAGGCTGGTCTCAAACTCCTAGTCCTCAAATGATCCTCCCACATTGGCCTCCCAAAGTGCTGTAATTATAGGTGAGAGCCACTGTGCCTGGCTGTGGGTTACTTTTTAAATGCTGGACATCCTGGGCCTGGTCAGGGATAGAAAAGTAATTATAATTGTAATGTGAGCTAGATATATCTTGGAAGATAACTTTTCTGGGGAAAAAAATCCCCTTAAAGTCAAATGCAAATTTCTTAACTTGCTATTTTGGATCTTGTTGATGTCACCAAGCCATTCAATTATTGTAGCAAGACAGATGTTGACTATATATAATCTCTCGAAGTACATCCTTCCGCTATATCCAGCCTGATTCCTGCATGAAAGTTGCTCAATGTCTTCAGTTTCCCTTCTTCTCCCCTCTCGTGTCTCATCATAGGTTCCACACGCTACCATCGTCAACTGCTTCTGGTCCTTAACTTTGGAAGATTTCAAGAAAACTCTTAGCACTAAAGGAACAGGATTTCTCGGAACATTTTAGTCAACCTCGTCTGGCTGCCTATTTTAAGTTACCCAAATCTAGAGAGAAGATCAGCCTGAGGCTTTCACTCCAAGAAACGCACACAATTATTCCACCTACTTCTCAAACCTGTTCCTCCCGATCTCTCCCTCTCCATGAGTGGCATGACTTCCACCCAGTTACTCGAGTCAACTCTGAGGCAACCTTCAGTTCCTTTTACCTGACATTCTAAATTCAATCCATCTTATGACCACAACCTTTAAAACCTATCCCCAAACTGACCTCTTCTCACTATCTCCATGGACACCATTGTGGTCCGAGCCACCATCATTTGTCAACTGGACCGCTGTAGCAACCTCCTACCTCCACTCACCAGTCACCAAAGCAAGCCGCTTAAAGATGTAGATCACATCATGTTACTTTCTTAGCCCAGATTGTCTAATGGCCTCCCATCGTCATTCAATCAAAGTCCAAACTCCTTACCGAAGTCTGTAAAACTCTGCATGATCAAGACTGGTGTGCTAGACCACGTCCTACCATGGAATTCCCTGGGGAGCTTTTATAAAATGCCAATGTCCAGGCCCCACCCCAGGCCAATTAAATCACAATCTCTGGGGGCGGAGCTTGGATACTGGAAAACTTTTCAACCTCCTTGGATGATTCCAATGTGCAGTCAGGGTGAGAGCCACTGACCTGGACCTTGCCTCATCTGTCCATCCCGCCTCATTCACTGTGCCCTGTTCACGCTCCCGGCCTTCTCTCTATCCCTGGAACATGCCAAACTCCTGTCTGCCCCAGCGGTTCCTTCTGCTTTGCTGTTTCCTCTGCTGAGATTGATTCCTACCCAAATCTCCACATATCATTCAGCTCTTAGCTCAAATGTCATGTCATCACCAAGCTCTTCCCTATCTAGCTTGGGGTTCCACCTCCTCCCCTGCCCAGTCCTTATCCCATCATCCTACTTTCTTTACCACAATTATCGCTATCTGATCTGACTTATGCATTTGCTATCTCTCCCCTACTAAAATGTTAAGATCCATGAAAGAAGGGACTTTGATCTTCCTCACTACTGTATCTCCAACACAGAATAGTGGAGGCGATCAAGTATTATTTTTTAAATGAGCAAATACAAACACACTGCTATTTATTTAGGAGACAGTAAGACTAGAAACATAGACTGTCAGCAGCAGCATGTTTTACACCGATCTTATGCTTACTTCCTCGCTATGGACCACGCTCTGAGCTGATAAGAACTGGGGGACACCCGTCACTGTAGAAGGCCCTCTGCAGATGGAGCGCAGGTACACAGCAACAGCTAGAGGCAAAGGGAGCCCAGTGAGGAGTGGCACTCCCCAGCGACCACACAAACCAGTCTCTGAAAGATCATTTATCCTCCGGTGCAGGTTTCCCAGTACCCCGAGGTGGAGTGAACACACATTCCTGGGTGGGGAAGAAAGATGCCTCCACTGGTTTCCATGCTGATTTTCCCAGCACTGGCCTACCTGATGGAATAATCGCATGGGACATGTCTGCTGAGGGGCTCTCACAGCAGGGCTGGAAGGGTGGCAACCAGGCTGCTTCCTGAGGATGCTGAGTTATAGGAGCAGGAGGGCGTAAGGATCTGACCGGTATTTCTTTCTCATTCTTTAATCAAGCAGATGCTGAGCCCTGGACTCAGGCTAGAAGCAGAGTACGAAGATGAATAAGAGACTGACCTCAACTGTGAGAGGCACACAGAGGCACGAAGCCACAGCCCCTTCTCTCAGCTGCCCGCCCCTACCCTGGGGAAAGTATCCATGGAGAACTCGGTGCAAGCACAGGGCAGAGAGTCAGGAAGCCATGAGGAAGGCATTTAAATTAACATACAACTGTGAAGAGCTAGTGAGCGTCATCCTTCAAACCAAAGAGGGCTATAAATGCTTTCTTTGGTCATAAGAAGCTGAATGTGTAAGAATACAGGTGGAGTGATGAACCCCACATACTCCAGTCTGTTGCAAAAAGCTCTGCACTGTGACTTCACACAAACCCCATCAATGGATGGAACTGTTTTTCAGAGTCTGTGGCATATTCTTCCAAACATACACTTAGAATGAATTCCAAACTCCTTCCCTTGGCCTTCAATGTCCTGCACTACCTGGCCCCTGCTAGAGACTGGACCTTCGACACGGAAGGCTGAGGCAATTGGAGTCTCTACAAAAGACAGGAGGTATAAGGTTAAGGGACCAGAGGGAATGCGATAAGCTAGCATAAGGAACCAAGTATTCCAGTACAAAAGGTGCCACAGTGAGGTGACATTCACAGTGGCTTAGGATCTTGAGACAGGATAATAATTCCTGTGGTTTGATCAGTACTCTTGACCGTTTAGAAAGGGCTTTCACACACACACATCACATCACATTCCATCCCGTCAGGCAGGCGGGTAAGCCTTGCTCCACAGAGGAGATACCTGAGGCTTGGGGATGTTTGGTTACTCACCCCAGGCTGCACGGTGGGTGGGCAGCAGAGCTGGAACCACGGCACTGGAGTTCTATACTCAGGGCTATTTTCCCCACACCATCCAACCCAGAAAAAGGATCTCTGAGTTTATAAGCACAGGCCAGCTTACCCAAGCACATGAGTACCTATCCACAGCCATTGTTTCCCAAAAGAACCAACAGAGGGGCAGAAATTATAATTGAGGGATATTAACTCTGAGTATATTCTGAAAAGGTAAGGATGTCTATTGCAATTTCTAGAATCACTAAAAAATATATATATACTAAGAGGAATAGTTAAAAGCCAATAAATTAATTAAAATGAAATTCTAAAAAAAAATCCAGTTTACTCAAAAGAAGGAAGAAAGGAAAAACAGAATAATAAAAAAAAAAAATCAGAAGGGACAACCAGAAAACAAATAGGAAGTTGGAAGACCCACATCAACCATATCATTAAGTACATTAAATGTTAATAGATTAAATATCCCCCAAAAAGAAGATACTATCAGAATGGATTTTAAAAAATCCACAAAACAATTAGGATGACTATTATTAAACAACAACAAAACCCCAAATTCAGAAAATAACATAAGTATTGGCAATGATGTGGAGAAATTGAGACGTTTGTGCATTGCTGTTGGGAATGTAAAATGGTTTAATCATCATGGAAAACAGTTTGGTATTCCTGAAAAAGTTAAACACAGAATTACCATACGATCCAGCAATTCTACTTCTAGGTACACACCTAAAACATGGAAGCAGGGACTCCCATAGACACCTGTACATCAGTGTTCACAGCAGCATTATTCACAACAACCAAAGGCTGGAAGCAACCCAGTGTCCGCTGACAAATGAATAAACAAAATGTGGCATATGCATATAACCGAGTATCATTCGGCCTTAAAAAGGAATGAAATTCTATTACATGCTACAACATGGATGAACCTTGAAAACATTATGCTGAGTAAAACAAGCCAGACACAAAACGACAAATAGTGTCTATTTCCACTTTTATGAAGTGCCTAGAATAGGCAAAGGCATAGAGACGGAAAGTAGAATAGAGGTTACCTGGCGGGGCAAGGGGAGAACGGGGAATTATTGTTTAACAAGTAGAGTTTCTGTTGGGGAAGACGAACAAGTTCTGGAAATGGATGATGGTGA